GGGGGCGGCAGGGGCGGCCCGCCCCGGGCAGCACTTTTTAGGGGGCGGCAAAATTTCACAATAAATAATAATAATATCTTGTAAAAATTTGAAACATCCTAATCTATATTTGCATCGCGCCTACGATAGTGCTGCGGCGACAAATCACGGACTGGTGAGATGGCGCCACTCCTCTAGGAGTTTCCCGTGAATCCCGGATTGAAAAAGGGGACAAGGGATTTTCCCGGATGGGATTCTGGGTATTGTTGCCTTTTTCTTGTCGGGTGATTGCTGCCATGAGCACGTGTAGCTCTCTCTCAAGTGTACTCGTAAGATTGTTGTAAATAAATGTTGTTTTAGTTTAAAACGTGGTCGTGGACTTAACTAATTCACGTTTACCGCCTTCTGATAAAGACAGTCTTTGTGGAAATGGAAATGGATGGAGAAAGACGGCCAGGTTTCGACTAACCAACGGCGGCCATCCATTACCTCCAGTGCTATCGTCCGGAAAGTCCGGGAATCGGCTCGCCGGGTGAACTAGTAACTTTCTCATCCGAGGAGTTCCTGCGAAACCTGTTGGCCTTTTTCTTCTGCTTGTACGATTCATTCGCGTTCATATACACCATTAATTTAATATCCAATAAAACTATTTTAAACAAGTCGCTGCACTACCACCGAATTTTTCATTGCTTGTTCCGTGACAAAACTGAATTTTGGTCTTTAAATTGAAATACCTAAATAAGTGGGGGCCGAAATTTTCCTCCGCTCCGGGCGGCTGACAGTCTGACACCCACGGTACGCCACTGCCCAGAAATGTGTCATTGGACCAGGTGGTGTGCAAAATTCTAAGATATAAGGGTTGGAGAAAGGAAGCAAAACATCCCCATTTCTTGTTAAATGTTGAGTGACATAGCAGTTTTTCAAAATGTTGAAGTTTATAGCCTTTTTTAGGTTATATTATTTTTATGCCAAAATTTTCTATCGTTTTTAAACATTTTAAGTGAACATTAAAGTAAATTAATTACTTATTTAAGTAGATTTAAGTGGAAAATTATATAATTTCTTTTATCAGTTCCATCAGATTATCACACTTCGCTCCTGACTTCTGTCATGAAAAATGAAAACTGAATTCTCACAGGACGAGTATTTTGGCATACGCGTGTTCTCGAAACGACATATATAGCGAGGGTGCGAATTGGTTCTCGTAAGTTTTGGCGCCGAACGTGAGAAAAAAAACAATCACGTCCGTCGAGGCGGAATTGAACCACCGACCTATGGATAGCTATAGCCACTACAGTCCACCGCTCTACCAGCTGAGCTATCGACCAAGCTGAGTTTTTCCCAAAATTTATAGCATGTGGCCTAATGAATTTAAATGATTATTTTTTCACAGATTTTATGAGATCCAGATATTTAATTTCATTTTTTAGATATTTTGTTTCAGAGTTGACAACATGAAACTTATCCTAGTCACGTCATTGTTGCGCTTGTCCCATCTCAGTGGTCTCCAAATTGAGGTGCGCGTACCCCAGGGGTATGCAAAGTGATACTTGGGGTACACCAAGTTTCCCTTCAAAATAATGTACACAGTATTTTGACTGTATAGAACTGTAATTCTAATTCAAAATGTAAATTTGTAATTTAATTTAAATGCATGTATATTGTTTAAAATAAATAATAAATAATTTGAGTTTTGACTACACATACATATATTATTTACAATTATTTTCGTCTTAGGAGTACGGGATCAAAAAGTTTGGAGACCACTGTGCTATCTTAGTTGAGTTCAAATTGCTAGTCTGCAATTGCGATTATTTTGTACTGTGCATTAAATTAATTTAATCTCCAAAATGCCAAAAAGAAACTGTGTTTACTGATGAATTAAAACAGGATTATCCGTTTTTGAAATAAGTTTGTGATCGTGTTGACAAAGTGAAACGTAAACTGTGCTTTCAGAATTTTCAGTAACTCATGGTGGGCGTTCGGACATTAAAAATCACGTGAAATATGAGAAACATAAGGCATGTCTATTAGCGGAAGGAACTTCCTCAAATATATTGTCATGTTTTAATGATACCGATTGAAGTGACAAAGAATTTTTAAAGAAAGTTCACACTAGTAATAAATATTAATAGGTTCTTAATAATAAGGCATGTTCAAGTTGAGTTATTAAAAATTTCTTTTAACTCGTTTTTTGTTAACAACTTTTTTATTTAGTCTTTTCAATCAAGGTAGGCTTTATTCTCTGTTACGACTATTTTCTCAAAATTGTCACCGTTTGAAAAAAAAAATATATATATATATATTATGGTAAGCCTAATTATAATCACCTAAAAGCAACTAAATTCAATTTATTTTTTCATCCTATAAACTCCATAAATTTTCCCAGATTTAAATAATATAATTAATTTTTACTTGTTGGGCTGCAATTAAAAAAAATTTTACCCTATAAATTTCCACTGTCGTCCGTCTTCTCTTAATCTCGAGAACGGAATTAGATAAATCAAATCATAGACCAGATATGGAAATATTAGGAGCAGGAGGCTCCGATTAACTATATATGAACTTCCGATGCAAACAGGAAGTCGTATTATGTCAATTCAAATTTTTCCTGAAAGCAGTTAATATATGATCGGCACGACTATTGTTAAAGGAAAAGTGTGATGTACAGGAGCAAGATACTACTATCAGGTGGAGAGTATATATTTTAAATGAAATGAATTAAAAATATGATTAAAATTGCAGCCCAACATTGTTACGATCTCACAAATAATTGCTCATTCTATATAATTCATACTTTTTATATTTGAACAGTTCAAATCTGTCAATATTTTGATAGATTTAACTGATCTATCGAAATATTAATAGATTTAAATAATGCACAAATAAACCACAATATGACCATTGTTTTACTCATTCTCTATAGATTATAATTTGCATACTTCAATACTGGACAGGGATTACTGCTGTGAGGTCATGACCTCACCCATCAACGAGACAGGTTGTCGAACCAACGTCAATAGACCGGTGACTTATTCTTGTAGACAGAACCGGAGACGCGGAGAAACAATTTGTCACATTCCCGAAGATTTAATTGTCAATTAAATCTTATCACATATTCCCGGACGTAAATCACGAGGCAGAGTAAAAGTGTGACGGAAAGGGGTTTTGCAGTCACCTTACCCTGAATTCAAGCAGAAAAAGTGAATGCTTCCTCGGAGGGATGGCGGCTGAGATCCGCGTGTGGTCTCTCCGAGACACGAGAAAACAAATTGTGGGTAATTTATGGAAATCGTTCAAGAAGGAGAGTGACCCTACCCTCAGAGAGAGCGGTACGTGTGGTGGTGTTTGACAACCCTTGCTACCTTAATCGCGTCCCCAACAACAGATCGGAACCAATGAAGATGCAGGAGAGCATCAGTTTGGACTAACCAGAAATCGGGATTTTTGAATGAAAATTGTATAAAAGCCCAGATTTTCAAGGACACGGGGAGGTTGTGGTCAAGTTTATGAGAAAAATCGATCTTCGAAGCTCCAAGCAAGTCTTCAAATTTCCGAGTACCAACGAAGGGGACTCAACTTCCAATCGTCGCCTGATAGGACATGGGTGCCCCAGGACCCTCAACCTCCATCTCATAAATCAGCAAAAAATTCTCTCCTCTTTTTGTGAGACGTCCTTCAGCAAGAACTTCACTGTACCCTTGTTTAAGCATGTTTTATTGTCTTATTAAACAGGGATGTCCTTGTAAATCAGCATCCGTGTCTTTGTGTCCTGCACCACTATCCCCATACGATCCTGATCTACCACAGGAAGAGAGAGTATTCTTTCACTAAGACAGACAGTGGTTAGGCAGTTTCCTTGCACGGTTGTGATTTCTACTTCTACCCATCAGGTTCAAGGTTCGTCAGTCCTTGCCAAGCAAGCGATCGCTTTTCTTTACGGCTCTGTCTCAATTCCATCGTGATACAAAAAACTTGTGAGATGTCCTAGTTTTAACTACACAACTGTTTAAAAACTCTTTTCTCCTGTAGCCACTAAGAATGGCATTTTAAATCAAGTTCATGATGGATTCGACCAGACCACAATGAGGGTGGCCAGATGGAAAGAGATGGGGTCTACATAATACATCATAATTATATATAATTTTCATATGTAATTATGTATTATAGAAATCAAAGATATGATTGAAATACTTAAACGAATGACATTTCAGTTATTCCAGTTAATGAAACAGGCTAACATTTATTCACAATTATCTTTATTAATATTTCAGAAATCTATAAAGCAATATAAGAAACCATTGTGCAAATATTTTCAAAAATCTTAGAAAGAGAAAATAAATTATTATAGAAAAAGAATAATTCTTATTTTCATCATAATACAAAAGATACAATTACATTTTTACTGATAAATAACAGTAAAATAGTATAAATACATGTAAAGAGTGTTATAAATTTTTAAACAACTTTAGGAATGATCTGTTTTTTCTTCTAATATTTACAGTTACTAACAAATGGCAACTTTTACTTAATACTGAAATATTAAATGCCTTCTCACTTTTTGGGTTTTATAATATTTAAAAATTTGAGATAATGCTTGGCACCTTATTCCATCAAATAATGGAATTATATAAAAAAGCATGAGATTAAAAAACTGTGATTATTCGTCATTCTGTTAAAGAAAAAATTAATAGAAATTAATTTTGAAAATAAAAATATTTATTTAAAAAATAAACTCTTACTTGTACTGATTCAATATTAGAAATATCAGTATCATCTTTACATGTCTTTTGAAGACAAGTTATTTCGGCAGTAGAAACTTGATTTTCTAATTTTAAAAACTTCATAAGATATTGTTCCTCATTTGCAGCTTCAAAATCATTGTAATCCTGAAAAATAAAATTATTTCAATTGTTAAGTGTTCTCATATGCAACATAAAAAGTAAATATATTTCCTCATTCAATAATTCCAATGCTATCCATGCATGTGGACGCACATACAAAAAATATCACAATACCACAAAATTACTGAACAGGGCTGTGGAGTCGCATAAAAATCTACCGACTCCAACTCAGACCAGGGGCAGACTTGTTACCGAAAGTAACCCAGAAATTCTGATGTCATCATGTGACCTCAGAATAAAAGATTCAATAAATACAGTTCTAATAAAGATAAAATGTAGAAACTTTTTATTCCAAAGCTAAAAGACTCCTCTAAGTAATATACAAATATGTATTCAATAATTTTTACTTTTCTGGCTGTTATATATGAGAGAGAGAAAGTGTAGCACTCAGTCAAAAAAATGACCCCTCCCAAATGTTTATATTTTTGGACTCAGGACACCTTGAAATTTTGAGATATGCAAATGATTCGAGGTTTTTGCTATATTTGTAGATGTTAGACTGTGTGGGGGGGGCATAATTTTGTCCACCTTGTTTGAAGTCTAATAATTTCTGTGGTCAGAGTGGTCAGAATCAAAGTCAGATGGTTTAACACAGGAGTTAGTTATTAATCATCAAAGTGGTTAAACTAAATCATGTCCCCATATACATTCCAACATCTTAGGTGAGAACATTATAACGCGTTTTACTGTACTATTATAAAATGATAAAAAAGCTTACTTTAAGGGTAGAGACAAATTTCATTTTTTTTTTAATTTTGAACACTAATAAGAAGTAAAATATTCATTAAGAGATATGATACATCATCACTTTTATGTCTTCACCCTATCGACCTTTAATTAAAAAACAAAATTTAATGGTATTAATGCCCCTTTATATGCAAGCTACAGTGCCACAATTTGCTTCTTAAACTTTATCCATTCTGAGATATTGTTTAATATCTCAAAACAGAAATTAAAGAAATTAGATGCCAACACAAACATGTGCACTAATTTTTCCATCTTTATTGACTTTTTTGAGGGGTTTGGGAGGTCTCCAAATGTGTAGATTTGCAAAAAAAACTTGGAGGGTCAAATTTGACACGATTCCAACACTTTTCCATTTTATATACATAACAAGTTGAGAAGTAAAAAGAAGTTGGAGTTGGCGGATTTTTTGGTGACTCTAACTCTGGCTAAAACACCAAAACGTCACGACTCCAACTCCATAGCCCTGTTACTGAACTTAAATAAAATGCTTTAATGTTTTGAAATATATTTACTATACAAAATCCAAATACTTTTGAGATCCTTCAATCATAAATTAACAAAAATATAGCAATATTTACTGTTAATAGACATGCCCTCTACAAATATCTTAAAGCAATATTTTTATTTTCATTTCCATACTAATAGTATCTCATATTTGATTTGTCATTTCCTCATAATTAGCCTCAGACCAGTAAATCTCTTCAGTTTCCAGCAAAACATGTAAAATGCAGTAATTCACAAACATTTTTGGAATCCACCAGATTCCAGCTTCAGGTTCAAAGAGTACATTTTGATTTGGAATGCATTAATTAAATAGAATGCACTTGTAGAATTCAAATTTGAACAGGCCAGTATGTCATGTGCTGATCATATACTATGTCATCCAGGCTATAATGATGTTTCATACCATACCTGCCATGTTTTTAGATCAGCGATTCCCAACCTGTGGTACGCGTACCCCTAGGGTACGCGTACCACAGGTTGGGAATCGCTTAGGTTGTTTAGGTACAGAAATAGGTTGTTTAGGGGTACAGAAAAAAGTTAGTTATTATGGCAGAAAAAATAATATATTATGTATCACAAACTAATAGTATTAAAAAATTATTAGATAAAAAATGTTCCTTGCAACAATCACAACTTTATTATACATTTTTTCTTTTAGGTTTTTTTCTTTAATTTAAAGTTACAATATGTAAAATTAACAATACGGTTACTCACTAAATTTCTTAAATGAGGGGTACAATCTAGAGATATGACATATCACGGGGTACAATCTAGAGATATGACATATCACGGGGTACAATCTAGAGATATGACATATCACGGGGTACACTAATGAAAAAAAGTTGGGAACCACTGTTTTAGATAGTTGTATCTCCTCTCTAGAGCAAATACAATTGGAGTTACAGCTGACTTTAAATATTTCAATGGACTCTAAGCATCTGTTGAGGTCTCAGTTTGTAGAGGATTTGAAAAGCTGGGCTTGATTTAATTTAGCCTCTATATGGTCTTCTGAGGTAAAGGACAGACAGTCTCTTAGTCCATTAAAATATTTAAAGTCAGTCATAATTCCATTTGTCTCAAAACTTTTTGTTCCCATGCATTTAAGAGACTGTAGCCATGTTTTCCTATGTTATGATGCCATACGTGCTCCACTGCGCCCTGCTTATGATGGACCATTCCCCGTGGTGGAGAAGGGGACAAATTCTTCAGGATTCTAAAAAATAGCAAATAAGTGGTCATTTCCATCGACAGACTGAAACCTGCCTTTATGCTCAGGAAGAAAGATTCAATTAGCCCTACACAGCCTGTGATAGACCAACCCAGCAACACAGTGGCTGGGAATAACCACCAAGCAGAACCCGCATGCGAGACGAAGACCTCATGACATGGCTGCAAAATCAAACCCCCAGTGAGATTCATCAACCACAGTCACTAGGAGAGGGTACTGCGGCAACCAGTAGTTTATCACGGACTCAAGAGATGGTGCCACTCCTCTGGTGAGTGCCCACAGAGTCTCGTACACAAAAAAACGTTTGACGTTATGGTTTTTTCCCACAGGGGATTCTGGGATTGAGTTTTGTCTTGTCAGGTGATCGCTGCAAGAGCACATGTAGGTCTTAAGTGTACTCGTACAATTTGTTTATGAATAAATATTGTTTCAGTTTAAAGAGTAGTCATGGACCTAACAAATTCTTGTTTACCGCATTCTGTTAAGTGTAGTATAGTCTTAGTGATGTTTGAAATGGATGGGTGATAGATGGTCGTGTTTTGTTGAACATAGGTGTGGTCCTCCATTTCCTTCAATACAATATGAAAGTTTAATTTATTTCTTGTCACTTGTTTGCCTTTGTTGACCTGTAAAATTCTCAGAGTCAGAAGTAGATAGAGTATATTTTTTACTTGGTTTTAACTGAAAATAATTTTTATTTTTAGTGATTATTGAATATATATCGATCCCATTGGTTTTAATTATTGAATTTAATAACTTCAATGTTGACAATATAGGTTAAAATGAACAAGTTACTTTTAACATAATCCTAGAAAATTTTAAGTGATTAGTTGAAATGTTGCTTATTAATATATATATGTTACCGCTAAAGCTCGAAAGCCATTAATGTGCAGATTAGACCTTAGCTAATCTGCAGATTAACTACGGTGATCCATTAAAGTTGTGAAAATTGTTCCGTTTCTCAAATTATCTAGGTAATGTGCAGAGTATCTAGGTAATCTGCACATTACCTACTAGGCACTCGGTAAAGTGAAAATAAGATCTTTGCTGGAACAACAGCAACGTTTCTGTACACTTAAATTAACATAATGTTGTTTATCCTGTAAATGTTCGTCCGATGGAGAAATATTTTTAATAAAATTGAAGACAAAACTGTCCAAAAAGGATCACCATTTATTTTTTGTGTTTCAAGACTAACACATTATCGGCAACTTACCTTTCTTTGTAGGCTGCTTGTCGCCCGAAAATTACAAAGAGTCCTTTTAAAAAAAAAAACAAAACACATCAGAAATTTTTGTAATTTTAATTGGATGTGTTTTGTGTTTTTTAAAAGGACTCTTTGTAATTAGAATATAAAAGTTGGATACTTATTTTGTGGACACCCTGTATATATCTTACTATGCATGTTTTAAGTACAACATGCATTAATATCATCAATATAAATAAACAGCAAAATTACAGAAAAATGTTTATTAGTAGATGAATTAAATTTATAAGTAAATACTACAAGGCATATTCAGAAACTAAAAATACAAGGCCAGCAGAAATACAAGAAAAAATATTTTTTTACAATTTGCTGCACCTGTTAGGATCTTAGTCACATGATAGGTGACACCTGATTTAATTGTATCACTGTTATGCTTGCAGTGTATGTGAAAATAGACATGTCAATTTGTAATCCTGCCAAATGTCAGGTTCATTTAGTGATTTGATTTTTTTGCATGAATGGAAAAACTGCCACCAAAATTCATTACCAACATATTTTCTATTTATGGTAAGACATTATAAATGATACTTGAAGTAAGAATATTTTTAACCTCTGTTTAATTTAGTTAAGTTATTTTGTTATTATATTAACATCATATATGCTAATCCATTTATATGTAAATAATAATTTAACTATTAATTAAAAATAGAATGATACTTAAAATACTTTTTGTGGAACATTCCAAAATTTAAAAATCATCAGAAGAATTTTCAATATTCAAATTTTAATGACATAGAACTATAATAAGGTGATTGATAGACCTGAAGAACAACTGTAAAACAGATCAAAAACATTAATCAAAACATTAAACTGATGCTAAAAAATGTTAGTTAGTGTAGATTATTATTAGAATTGTATTGTTCAAATTTTTGTTAACTTTATAGATGTTTTTTGACTCTATTTTTGGTGCTGTGTGTGGTGGCCCCTACATAGACAACTCTTTAGTTGAGTCATTGGGACTCTAGTAGAATGGTATAGACTCCCAAGGTGCTGGGATAATTTTCCTTGAGCTTGTCATTTCTCAGAATACTAAATATCATGTGACTGCATTTGTTTTATTGTTGTTTAAGGACTCATTATGCATTTTTTTCAAAAATTGGAAAATAGCTTATACAGGCCTCTTTCTATTGTCTAGTTGTGAACATGTAAGTGTTAGCAGTAGGTGTAAATTTTTAAAACTCATATTTATTCTTTTTAACATTGATTATTATTTTATGTTCAAATTTACTTGAATTATTCTGTTAGAACAGAAAATAACTTAACTAAATCAAATACAGGTTAAAAATATTCTTACTCCATTAAACATTTTACTGGATGTAAATAACATGTACTTCCATTACTTTTGATTCTTATCCAGTATTCTTATTTTTTATACATATACTATATCATATTACATTCATTAAACTTATTTGGTATTATTAATTTTAATTACTTACGCCACAATAAATATCACCATTAAATATTTGAGGTGGAAGAGCATTTGGTCTGTCATGTTTCTTGCATTCTTCTCTCATAAAATTACGATCTTCTTCTCTTCCAGTTTCTGTAATATCAATTACATCAAACTCTAATTTTAATGATTCCAGTACAAACTGAACACGCTGTTGTTGTTTACGTATCTGAAAAAAAATTTATATATATTTATAAAAATTTATATAAGTACATGTATTATTATTTCTAAAATTAAATTTGTTTACTATTACAAAATCATAATTTTAATTTTTATACAGAAAAATCAATTTTTTTTAAATTTAAGAAAATGTTAAAATAAACTACATTAGAAAATAGAAGACATGATTTATAAAATATAAAAAGTGTATGATATATAAAACAAATTACTTCAAGAAAAAATTGTAAGCGTTCCTGCTGATTAAATTTATAGAATAACCAAAGCAACATCTGGTACCAAATTATAAAAAAGTCACTCTGGTTCATTGACAACCTTGAATTTTATTGTTACATGACAGTTAATTATTTCAATTAACTTTTTTTAAAAATATTTTATTAATTAATTAAGAACTGTTATTGTCTCCTATCACATATCACAATAATATTCAGTTACTAAACAAAACAAAATTCATTTTTTATTGACTATAAATCAGTTGTAATACATTTGTCAACAGAGAAGTATTTTATTGTTATTAATAAAATTTAATATACTGTATAATGTTTACTTAAGATTAAAAAATATTATAATTAATTTATTTTCAATACAAAATTATTTTGTACTATTAGTATATATTTTTAATAAATGTGAAATTAAAAATATTGTAGTTATAAAAAAAATATAATTTTAGATCTATTGTAATGAAACAATAAATCAATAAGTCGTATAAATTATATCACAATGTGTTATTACAAATATTTATTACTTAACTTTCTGATAATTCTGTATTATTGATAATAAAACAAAGTATTCCTTATACAATGACTCATTAAAATAAAGCTTTGTAAATATATTATTCAACACCATTTTATTTTATGAATTATACTTCTTCATTATTTTTATTTATTACTTCTTTAAATAATTTATTTCTATTCATATTTCATAATCAAAACTAAGTGGATAATAAATTTTATCAATCAAACATTCAGATTTTACAGTGTAAAGTTTTTAGAACTAAACCAATAATATAATCTCAACTTCTGCTTTCTAAATTTTTTTTTTTTTTTTTGATAAAGATTAGTTAATCTGGACATAACATAATTATATTGGTTTATATTGTTAGCAATCAATGTGTCAAATAATGAGGAAAAATGAACGTGTGAACTTTCCCTTCATTGAAAGTCCAAATGATTGCTTTAATATTTAAAAAATGAGTATTCTAAATAAATGAGCCAATAAATAAATTTTTTCAAAAAGCAATCATGCATCATCCTAGACAAAAACAAAATAAATATTCAAAAATATATACAAATATTATCTTTTAGATCTTTCAAAAATATCATCTCATTCCAATCTCTCTTGGAATGATAATGATCACTAATATCCACATTAACCACAGTTATATTATTGGAAGTTATTTTAGAATAATGCTGAACACAATCAATAATAGAGGTTAAAAACAAATCATTCTGGAATGGCACTGGAATTGATATGCATAACATTAAGTCTATAAATAATGTTGCAAAGTAATTTTTATTTTGTTTTAGAATGTAATAATATATTGTTTTAAATTTGACTTAATAACACAATAAAAATAAAACAAAATTAAATTTAATGCAGCAAAACATAAAATTAATGAATATGGCACAATTTAAGAACAATACTTAAATTATAAAACTATTTAAAATGTAAATATGTGAAATAACATTGCCACAAATGATATATTGGTAACTATACTTTAACAGATATAAATGACACCATCTCAAAGCCTGAGTAGTATACAATAAATCACCAAACGATTGCCTAAATATCAGGCTATAATAAGGCTAATTAAATGATTGGTATAAATTAATTTGGCACTAGAGGTTTAACCAAGTAAGGTTATATCTAATGTAATATACTTCTGGAAGAGAGGACTCGCTCGGGGTCTGGGTAGCGTAACTGGCAAGCAGAGGTTGATAGTTCAAGCCCCATCCCGAGCCAGTTCTTTTTTCCAAAAGGTTCTAAGTTTATTTAATAATTTATTTATTTATTTAATTCTAATTATTAATTTACTTAAGAGATGGCGCCTAACCTCTACATCTAGTGCCAAATTAATTTATACCAATCATTTAATTAGCCTTATTATAGCCCGATATTTAGGCGATTGTTTGGTGATTTATTGTATACTTTAACAGAGTTTGAGGAAAGCCAAATATCAGTTATCTTTGTGATGATAAATGAATACCTATACATACAATGACAGTTGTATGTATAGGTATTGTATGCTACTAGCAAATGTTAGTTATTGAAACCAGTGTGGGTATTAGCATAAAAAAAAAAAAGAGGGAAAGAAAATATTCATTCAAGGATAATTGATTGTTAATTCTTAATGCTCAATTCATTCTTGTAATTAAAAAATATAAAAATTGAGATATGAAGTAGTGTTTGGATATTCTGAAAAGTTTGTTTGTACTTTTTTGGAACATATTTCCATTTTCCACTGTTTAAAATCATTTGTAAAATGACTTTAAAACATCTTGGTTTATATACTTTATGAAGCTTTTTCAGCAAAAGATTCAAATTTATATTCAAACATCTCTTTATTACAGATTTCAAAACACAATTAATGTGAGTTGAATCAAATTCCAGTTTACTTTAAAATAGTAACTTATTAAAAAAAGTATTGATAATCAAATATTATTTCATTCACCAGTACAGTGTGTATTTCTATTAATAGGACTTATTAAACTGGTATTTAAGATTACTGCAAATCAGTCACACAGATTAAAATTGTTTTACTGTATTTACTTTTACAGGTAAAAGTAAATAAAACAATTTTAGTATTTTAGTAAAAATAGTATACAAATTTCAAATATTACTTAAAATAAAGTTACTGAAAAGAAATTTTTAAAATAAAAATATTTCCATCCCACATACAGACCAATTCCAGTTTTTGCACTGCAAAAATCAACTATTCTAATATTAACTTCTAACATCTCTAAATTTAAAATATTACATAGCATGAAATACTACATTTGTTGTTTTATTTATTCATTTACTAATAAAATTAATATAAATGTTGTATCATTTAATTTTAATTTCTTGGATTAAATCCAACTTTTACATAATATATTAAGTTACATTTTCCATCATCAGAAAAATCAGAAAAATCACCAAATTTTAAATAGGTAATTAAAAAGTTCGAAGTACACCTTTATCAATCCAGCAAAAGATTTTTAATACCGGTTTTTAATTGATAAAGGTGTGGTTTTTAACTTATTCACTATCCAGTATGTAGTTTATTTTAAGTTTGAAGTAATTTTATTTTATGATTAAAAACACTTAAATTATTTTTTAATATATTATAGTAACTTTAAATGAATAAATTTGAATATTTACAACAAATACATTGTAGAAATTTCATAAATAAAATAAATATACAAGGATCAATGTTTTAATTTATATAAAAAAAACATGATTTTGCAGGAAACTAAGTACTTTCATCTTATTAAAGTCTTCTTCAGAAATAAGCAATTTAAAAAACAAATAGAATTAAAAATTTTGAAATAAATTGAACAAATTATGAATAATTAAAAGATTTTTTTAAATGTTTACATAACTCTTGCATCTAAACAAAAAAGATTAATTTCAGCTATACTAAAATTTGGAGTTCTTTCTGTTCAGAAAAGAACAAAACCAAGATTAGTTCTTATCTACCAAGACTTGCATGCTGTAATTTGAGAAAAATAAACACTAAAAGATCAGTATTGTAAATGTTATTAACACACAACATAGGTTGAAAAGTAGTAGTACCATTGCCAGAACTTTTGTTACATAATACAAAATTAATAAAAATAGTAATGTTTTCCAAATTATGACTTGAGTACAAACACTTCCAGATGTGAAAATTTTTCCTTATTATATGCCATATATTAAAAAAAAATTAACTTTATCATATTTCAAATGAACACTGTTTCACATTATATATCATATTACAATTGAAACTTATAAAATAAAATAAAAAATAATTCTAATAAATATCTAACACAATATTTATAGTAAACTGGTCATATTTTTGTTATAAACATTTTATTATATTAAATAATTTTTATTTTTGACTTTTGTCATAATACATAAATAATCACATGGTGATTTGCTCTACTTACAACATGAAATGTTTTCTTCTTTAATGCATTGGAAGTCAAGCATACAATGTTTATAGTGAGTAACAAGTGAAAACAGGATGTAAACTATGATATTGCTCATCAAGGAAACAAAATGAACTAATTTCCTGATGACTAATGCAGGTAGGCTACCCACACATCATCTAATTATTTAAATATGTTTGAAATCTACTTCGACTTTTTTTAAATTGAAAAGTTAATATATTAAAATATTATTTAAATTTACAACTGCATTTATTTGAATTAAATATTAAAATATTTTATTAATAATATCAATATAATATAGTTTCTTTCGTTGAATTTTATTACATAAAATTTAAAATTTATCAAACTCCAATATAAAAACCATTAGTATTGTTTCTACTTTGTATCAAAGTTCAACAACATAAAATTATTTAAGTGGAAAAAATTCTGAATATAATAATTGTGTTCATGAACATTTACAGTATTTATATTATAGGCAGTATCATCAAGTGGCTGTTTAAGCTGCTAAAGCAATGATATTCTCCATAAAATCATAAAAAACCGAACAACAAATAAAACAATTAAGAAAGGACAGTTCAGTGTGTACATCAGATTGTTTGTAAATAAAGATCTGATATACAAACTGTAGTTTATTTTATTTTAAAAATTCAAAATGCAAAAAATTTTGCAAATTCTTTTAAATTACATGCAGCCTAGTTGAAAACATATCACTGTATTGAACTAACCAATTTTATGAATAATACAAACCTGATTTGTTTTATATAATAGTTACTGAATTTGTTCTGAGTGAAAAAATTTGATAAAAGGAATTTAGAATGATCATTACAAAAAAAAACACTTTTTCTTAGATTAGATATTCAAAACAGTACATCCTGTATAGAATATATATTGCAATTTGTGTAAATATAATACATGAAAAGTCTCAATTATAAATAAAATAAACACTGAACTACACTGATAAGTCTCAACATATTTTTATTAAATAATTAAACATTTTACGTAATTCAATGTAGGCCTACATTTTCTACTATGTTTCTTTCCATAAGTTAACTAGAAATTTCCAATTGATATGGATTTCCAACAGATTTATCACTCTTCAATTTTAAGTCAAATATTGAAGTCGTTGGAATATTAATATGACCAAAATTATAGAAATTAGGTGTTTAATTTTTATTGAGAATCCTCACTTAATATTATTGATAGATTCTTAGAAACTATAATGTTAAATGAAATAATGTATAATGAAACCAATTCTATCATAGATTAAATAATATAATCAAAGATACAATCTGATTATTATTATTCTAATTGGACTCCAGCATTTGCTTCCCTACCTAGTATAATTAACTTTTTGGTTTATAAAGAAAATTCAACAACAATAACTGTAAATGATTACAAGTGTAGTAGTAGTATCTTTCCTCACTAAAACATAGTTTTTAATGTACTTCTCTTTTTATTCCTGTTGACAAAATTCTGGAGAAAAGTTTATAGGATAAAATTCAAAACAACTGAGTTAGTTTTAGGATTCAATAACAAATCACTTTTGAATCTTCTGTTAATATACAAGTGTCTGTTATAGTTAGAAAGATGAAACCACATATTACCAGCTTATAATCAATATTGTTTATAATAATGTTAGCTTAGTGGAAAAATTAATGTATTATATACTAGACAATGTACTAAGTTACATTATTAATATATAGTACTAGATGTTCCATTGCTTTAGTATTAAAAAAATTATATTAAGCTATATGAAACTTCTTATATTAAAATTTATTTAAAGAAGTTTTCATGTAAACATCTAATCAAGTGTATGTAAAAAAAATTATCATGGAAAATATATATGCTTAGTCTACAGATTGATAAAATTAATATAAACTACAAAGTTCAATTGAAAATAAAAGCTTATGCACCTTACTGCATCAATTTTTACTTTCAGATAAATGTGAATAAAAAAGTTTTCTATAAACTACATTGTTACAAATTATTTATTGCTATTTTAGTGAAATATAAAATTGTGTAAGATTACAAACTCAGAACAGAACACATTTTAATAAGAATTTTACTAACAAGCAGGAAAAATTAATTATGTTTCCTTTAAAATATGTTCTGAAATGTTCATATTGTTTACAGGAAGTCAATGACAAGCTATCTAAGAAAGCAGACTAAATTTAATGCTAATCTTGCACCTATTTATCTAAACTCAATTTTTTACCATATAACAATATTTCTCTTAAAAGTCAAAAATGTTTTAACTTTCATGCCTAAAATGAAGTAATATTACAGACACATTTTATTTCTAAAACATAATTATTATTAATTACTAATTAAGAACAAATAAAAATTAAAAGCATACATTTTCCATATTCAAAATAAACCCGAGATATTATAAATCTTGTAAAAAACAGCATCGATCTTATTTTAAAATTTACGTATTAAATCATATAACATTTTACCATACACTTTTTATAAACATTAATAAATCAATACAAACTTATAGTTTATTATTATTTGAAAAATAGAACATCTACTGTATTTTAAATCATTTATCTATTAACGTATGTAAATAATTTCTGATCTACATCTATATCATTAACGGCACATCCGAACAATTTTACGATAATATCTTATCAAGTAATTTATCCAACACGAGGTTTGTGTTGAACAAGTAATTTTGATTATGCAATATTTACAGTCATACTACTGTATTCATTTATAATCACCATATAAGACTTGAGTGGTTGTTAATTTTATTGCCAGATTATTATATTATTAATACATTTACCACAATAATGTATTTATTTTTTAATTAAAAGTATCATGCAGCTAGTGAAATCTATTTTACAGTCTGATTGTGAATAAAATGAGAAATAAAACTGGGTCTGTTTAATAATAAAATTACATGTAATTTATTCTGAGAAAATACATTTACTTCCTGGAAAAAAAAACTGTAATTATGACAGGAAATCATTTTATAATAAGCCATATAATTTCATATTCTTTATGAAGCTTTGATATGTAATTTTTACTATAAAAAGAGATTAAAAAATGGAAAATTATATGAAAAAATCATCTTTGTAATTTTTTTTCCTAACTTATTAAAATTCGAAGTGGAAACAGAAAGTTTACATTGTGCTCGAACTCTTATCCACTTAGAAACATATAAATTATAGATTTACTTAAGGCTATTAACTTAAACTCACTTCATGATTGCCCGAAACTCCGGAGATGAACACCCTGATGACCATCTTCCTTCTTTCTCCCGATTCCGTGTGCTTCGATGAGGCGCCCTCTAAAGTTTTGTTATAGTTTAATCAATGACGTCACGCTTCGAGTATTTATTTTTTTATTTTTTATTTTTTTTGTGCATGAATGTAGGAGGTGTTTCTTTTTCCTCTTTTCATTCGTCTATTAATGTGCAGGTGACGGCGCGCGGCCTTATCTTCCGATTATTAAGAAAACAACAAACAGATTAAACACGAAAGCAGCGTGTTTCGCTCCGGTTTTTCACTCGTCCGTATCTTTTTAAATGTCATTACTAATCAATAAAAAATTACGTTTTGCATCGTTCAATTTAACGGAAGTCGATTTACAATATTTTTCCTTATAGTAATATATTTTAAGCAAAATTTATTTTCCTGATGAAAAGAATACATCATTGCAATCGTTTTCTCCGAAATTCTAAATTTGCGAAGTTGGTTACGCTGCACGGTTCCTGCTTATTAAAAGATGGATTGTCTTTAAATCTATCAACTGTAAATTATAGTTTTTTTTTTTTTTACTTTTTTAAATGGTCTGCTTCACTTCATAAAGTTGGTTATACTGATAAAATATATTAGTGTTAAAATTTTCATTGGAATAATTTTCCCAAAATTCGAATTTTAATGTGACTCCAATTCTTATTTTATGAAATGTAAATGTACGAAATATTTTGCTTCAAATTTATTTTTATTTTCCACTTTAATGACATCAAATTATAATTTATAATGAAGTACTTATTATAAATTTTCAATATTATGTTGTTGACTTCGCCATTTCTTTTATACTTTTTATATGAATTATCGGTATATATTTGTATCATATGTATTTTCAGATTGTTTATGAAATTGAAAAACTATATTAAGCTGAAATTAATCCAAATTGTGTATGAATTGAATGAAAATTCTATATTTTCTAAAGTATTTGAACATTTGAGAATGTATTAAACGAGAAGCTGCTTCATATATTTATAAAAATATTTTTTTTTTAATTAATTAATTAATAGCTATACTATTTTTAAAATATTAAATAAATGATTGTTGCTTCTCAATACGAATATTTTTCCTTTTTTTGACTCTTTCAGCACAGTGGCAACTAAGATCTTTTTCTNTAACAGATATAAATGACACCATCTCAAAGCCTGAGTAGTATACAATAAATCACCAAACGATTGCCTAAATATCAGGCTATAATAAGGCTAATTAATTAATTAATAGCTATACTATTTTTAAAATATTAAATAAATGATTGTTGCTTCTCAATACGAATATTTTTCCTTTTTTTGACTCTTTCAGCACAGTGGCAACTAAGATCTTTTTCTAAGCCCATTATAGGTTTGGCCAGACTCATAATGGGGGCAGCTATGGGGAAGGACGGGTCCCAATATGACCACTCACGAAAACTTCGTGAGTGCTCTATGTCTATGTTAATCCCGAATAAAATATCGTGTCTCCCAAAGTTTTATGCTGATGCCTTAATCGCCTCAGTCATCCAGACAATCAGTACTTCTATTTAAACCATACAGTTCTGAAAATTACGTTACAATAAAGTTCTGAAAATTAAAATATTACTGAATTATGAAAAATTAAATAAGGCATAACAAATTAGTTTTTATAAATTAAGATATATTTTTTGTTTTCGAAAAACATGTTATACGCATTTAAAAATATATACAGTATATATTTAAATTCCTATAATAGGTTACTTATTTAAAATGAATAATCTTGAGTGTATTTTTGTAATGCATACAAGAACATTATTATAACTGTTTGGGAATGAGTTACATTATTCCAAAGCTGTTGACGCGATGTTTTATCAAATTCTAAGTTAATTTTTGTGATGAATACAAGCACTCCCTCGAATGAATTAAAAAATATAATGGAGGAATGAATATCTTCAAGTAAACCTTGTTTCAAAATAAAATATTTGGAGTTCTATTTCGAAGTGCAAGATTTGTATGTAAACATTGTTAATTAAGATTTTAAATAAAAATGTTTTAATCTTTTAAATTTAGTTTTATTCAAATCTGTATTTTTAGGCTAATTTATTATATAATGTTATTTTCCGTCTTTATTATTAATTGTCATTTATTTATAATTCACTCCACCATTAAATGATTTAGTAATGTCTACTTTTAACATATTTCTTCATCGCACAGAAAATGGATTGAATGTCACCCTTTTCTTCAACTGTGAAGAAATTATAACAATCTATTGTTAAAGGATGAGAATGTCAACGTTCAACCGAATAAACAGGACGAATCTAACATTTCACGAACCAAAGATTACACTATGTCCCATTTAGACAGCTTATTGTCTCTCCGGGCCACCTATGACCCAACACCTGCAAAATCAACCGTCGTCTCCAAACATTGGATCACCTGACGGGTTTTTCCCAGGTCTGACGAAGATAAAAGAGGCCAGAATTCGCGTCTCCAGGCGGACATACTTAGAGCATACAAGAAGCTCTACTTGCCATATTCAGCGGACTCCACCGTAGAAGCATTGTCTCGCCTTGCCATACAAAGCGGACATCCAGCTTCATATAGGGTGGACCTCCCCAGGTCCATACAGAACAGACACTACCCAAGGCTCCAACCCATCGTATCCCAGAGAGGACAACATCCTAGAAGCGACCGTCACCATTTCCATCCATCCCAGCTCTCGACCTCCCTACGAAGACCGATGACAACCCGATACTACGAGAGGTCAACCGATCGGTTACCGTGTTTCCCCGAAAATAAGACATCCGCAGAAAATAAGACCTAGCACAGATTTTGCTGAATTGCGAAATATAAGACCTCCCCCTGAAAGTAAGTCCTAGCGAAGTTTTTTTTTAGTCGTAACGGTCATCGGCAGATGGTTGAAAGTGGCCGTTGGCTCCAATCCAATCCAATCCAGATAGAGAAGTGTTATAGCTATGCGCAGCCGTTGGCTCTTTGAAAGTACAGCCACTGATTGGTCAGCAGACAATTACGCCACACGGCATGATTTGCATAAGACTATGGCTTGGGAATCACAGATTTGCATAACGTTACGGCTGGTGATGGCTAATTGGTCGGCCGGGAATCACGCCACATGACATTTGCATAGTGCTACGGTTCAGTAAGCACTAATTGGTCATCGAGTCCGATGTTGACGCTATAAAAAGGCGACAGTTCGACACACCGGATATACGTCACTCTCGTCTAAGTTCGACTTGGGAATTTTTTTGTTCAATAATAAATGTGAATTCTTCTTCCTGGAAAAAATAAGACATTCCCTGAAAATAAGACCTAGCGCATTTTTCAGAGCAAAAATTCATATAAGACACTGTCTTATTTTCGGGGAAACACGGTACCTACCAGAGTTAATATACTGTGGCCGCCAGCGCCAGAGATCCTGAACACTGTTTGGCAACACTTGCCAAGATCACGAACTCTGTCTGGCAACACTTGCCAACAAGAGTGGCTGGCAACGTCAAAAAAAGAAAAGGCGCGAAAGTTCGTTGGATTTTGTCCAGGTGTTGCCCGAGGATGTCTGTGACAGTTCTAACCTTTTCTAATAAAGTTCTTTTTTGTTACTGTTCGTGTTTGCCTGCTTAATGTTAGATCTAAACATCAGTAGAATTGAATGACAAAATACTTAGCACATTTTAAACTCTCTCTTCTTAAACTAGATAGAACAGGATAACTCGCGAGTGAAGTATATACGATTAGTATTTAGTAGTGTAGTTTGTAGTGTCTTGTAACATATAGATAATAGATATATTAAACATTATGTTTGTTAAATCTGGCTACTTGTCATTACTCGAATAACAGACACTGTCGACTTAATCTCAATGGTCATTTGTTAGTGAATGCTACAAACCAAGCAAATGCCTTTGCAAATCACTACAATATACCCAACATTGATGCTCTGTTCACCATTCACATGCTGATCAAGAGTCAACATAATATCAGAGTACAGCATTCCTTTTGTTCTCTGAGCTCTCTTGTACCTTATGACGAAAAAGACTCCACTCCTGATCAAGAGAAGATAAGTACGAAAACCATCACCCTCCTGACATCTTCCGCAAAGAATTCTGAGACTTCCTGGAATTCTGAGACTGTTCATCCTGACGTCTTCCGCAAAGACTATTGAGTCAAATATGGGATAATATTAATAATATAATTCCTTCGTCACTATTTGCAAACGTGCCAAAGATCCTACCCTGATAACAAATTACCATCCAATTGCTCTGACCTCACACATTAGTAAAATGGAATGATTTTGCATAGATAGATGAAATTATCTCATAATGAAGCGTGGTTTAACCCTAAATACATGGTAGGCTCCCAAAAGATGCAGAGAAATTCTTACTTTCATTTTGATACAGATCCATAAACTTTACAACCAGACATGCTTCATCAGCATCACTACCATGGACATCTATAAGGCACATGACTGTATCAAACACAACATTCTTATTTGTAAGGTCATTCGACTTGGATTCATAATTTTATAACAAATAGATAATTCCAAATGAGATGGAATGGGATCCTCACCCAACCTGAGAATCCAACTAGTCATCCCCCAAGGGAGTGTTGTCTCCCCTTTTTTATTTTGCCATCTTCATACAAGACATTTTCAATCTGGAGTGTGACAACATTCACATCTATGTCTACACTGATGTCACTGCCATCATTCATGACTACTCTGTTGATCATCTACACCTACTCACGAATACCTTTCTTCTGAATATTACTCACTGGACGCATCAAAACGATGTTTCCATCCAGTCACAAAAGTGCACCATTGTGCAAATCCCCAGCCATAAAAATGTTGCACAGAACTTCCAATTAAACAGACAAATCTATCCCTTATGGCACAAAGATTTTGGGCATATGGATCACTAGTAATCTCACTTGGAAACATGTTAATTACATTGCTACTAAAAGCAAAGAACTATTAAATATGTTTAAAATTTTCTGCTCCAAAAGATGTGGTAGCAGCACATCTGATCTAATCATTATCAGTGAAAACTCCATAGGTAGTCTAGCTGATTACATAATTTCCGGCATCATTTATCTGATGAAACATTAACAGACAACTTTACAAACCATACAGAATCAATTTCTCAAACTTTGTCTAGGCCCTCCCTCCACTCTACCTACAATAGTGAGGTTGAGGCCAAAGTTTTAAATGTCAAAACGTGTACGTCGGATGTTCAGTGCTGCTTTCCTGTAAGCCTAGAAGTTTGACAAGTGTTTGGATAGTCTGTGGAATCATGCTCGACATTCCAAACACCACTAGGCTTACAGGAAAGCAGCACTGAACATCCAACGTACACGTTTTGACATTTAAAACTTTGGCCTCAACCTCGCTATTATCACCACCTTCCGTACTGCAAACAAATCCAACATCACCTCCAGGTTCAACCATCGCATTATCAAACAATATAGCACATATTCTAAAAAAAATAATATTGGCCCACTTCTTACAAGTTAGTGAGATATTACATATCATCCACTCAAAGACATCTTGGTCAAAAATCCTAGTCCAAATGGCTTGCTCAACACAATATAATCCAAGACAGCTGGCTGCATTCAGTATAACAGCAGCTTTGAAGATAACAAGAAACATGCAAATCCAGACCAAAATTTTTGGGCATGCTGAAAGCTAATAATAATAATAGATCTATCTCTAGCACTAAACAATAGGTAGAAATGTTATTTAGTGTGAATAAAAAAGTATGGACTATTATAAAGCCCATTATATCTACACATGAAATATATTATAATGAAAATGTATTAAAAATTTATGATGACAATTCAAATTTGTGGACCCTTGACACTGAGAACCCAGGGCTTAAGCCCTATTAATCTCTATGTAGATCTGCCCCTGTTCATAATACATGTATGCTGACTGGGTATCACAAGCTTTCAATACAATCTGGCCGTGTTAAATGCTTCGAATGACGTCATGCACATGCACTGACTTAAAAGAGCTAGCCACTAGCTGCCAATCAAAGCAAACACAAATAATAAGAGTTTACATGTTAGAATAAATTATTATTGGCATATTTGTTCTCATATAAAAAATATATTGACAGTTGAAACTCTCTTAAGCATGCGGCACATGCTAAGCAAGCCCAGCCCAGAGAATTCACCCGATAAGAAACCTCTTATCTTCAAGAATAGTTACTTTCAAACAATCCACCTTATCCCAAGAGGTTCTACAAGCTAATTTCAATGAATGAATTCATCAGAAATATGTAGTTCTAATTACTACAGATGGTTCCAAACATAATGAGTCTGTCACCTCGGCATAACGAATTACACCTCAGCATATTACAACCTCCACTCCAAAACAAGCATGTTCATGGCCAAGGACTGTACTATTTTCCAAGCAATCTTCCATATGGTACAAATTAAGAAACAGACCATCATCTGTACAGACTCTAAAGCCATCTTGAAAAGCACGATTACACCAAATAAATTCTCTCATTCTATCATTACCAATATCCTTGCAGCTATCCCCTCAAATCAGAACCTTCCCTCATCATCTTCATATGGATCCTGGGCATGCAGGCTTCACTATCAACAAGAAAGCAGACAAGCTTGCTAAGAGCAAATCTAGCTTCACCTACAAAACAAATATCTCCCCAGATTTCCTTCCCATCAATAAACAGGACATGAAAGAAAAAAATGAATCAAATATGGATCTCCTATCATGAAAGGGAAGCCTATCCATAGCTGGAAAAAACTTTCAATCCTATTTATAAAGATCTAGACAGACACACTGCCGTTTTTATCAACAGAGCTTGTACCAATTCTCTCCTTACCAATCACTTTCTGCATAAATGGAACCTAGCCATACAAGACCAATGTCACTACCATCCTTCCAAAACTGATAACTCCCTCCATATATTGGATGAATGCATCATCTTCCAAAAGACCAGGAATCTCCTTTTGACAAATTCAGACATCAAAGGCAATGGCATCAACAAAATTAGTGACTGCCTTGTGCATATTCAAAAGAAAAAAAGAAAAGTTTATGTACATTAAGTCTTTTTCAACAAATATTCAAAATACTATTGATACTAGGGAGTGCCACTGTTCCATCTGCTAGAACAACGGTTCCCAACCTTTTTCGGGTGACGACCCCTTTTTATAAAAGCCAAGTGACCCGCGACCCCGATACTATTGAAAAAGACATTTTTAATAAGGTAATTAAAAAAAACAACGAAATTAGTTTTTTAGTATAATTTTATTTTAAATTATGTCTAATAATTTAATGCGACTGTTGAAATTGTATGTTATTAACCAGCCTTAAAATTCGCGGGTGAGTTTTTGTTAACGCCAACCTCATGTCATTTTCAACATTTAATTTATTCCTCTCAAACTGTCAACACATGATTCAACCAACTGTGACGGAATAGCGTACCTAGATTACACTTATTTTAATTTTTAAAAAATACAGTTGACCCACCTATAACACGGTAGATACGTTCCGTTTTTTATGAAATTGATGTTTTAGGAGACCTTGCCAATCACAGCCCGACACGTGTGAAGTTTACGGACTACGACTGTTTGAAAGGTTTTCTTCCATAAAATTAATCGATTCTAGACTAATTCGACTCAACATTTCCAAAACACGTATAATTTTTTGGGAATAATCCGTATAAACTATGCTATAAACAAAAAATTGTAGGATTACTTACCGAGTGTGCACCATTCGATGTCGCCATTGCTTAAGCTTGTTTTCGTTGCCGAGCAGCCGCACCAAATGGCGGCTGCGATTTCTGATAAGTTATTTTTCTGCGAAAACTTCGTTGAACTTTGGAGACATCATTAATATAAATAATTTTTATGGCCGTTGAATAAGAAATGTTTCTTTCACAAGAAATGTATAAAATTAGTGCTATATTAGACTTCGGTACCTAATTTACATACTGTACAGACGCTAGTAAACTGAACTTACTCGCCTAAACTCTCCGTAGCTTGGCACTGGACGGCAGAAAGTAGTTTGGCTGCCCGATGACGTTTTACAGAATTATAGGAGTTTTTTTACCATGTTTGTATGGATACCGTCGCAATTTTTTCGCTGTCATATAGGAATCCGTGTTATACGGGGGTCGACTGTATATTAAATTATTCAAACTTCAAGACACCATTAAAAATAAAAATTGCATTATAGTGAACATTTTTTTTTAGTTAACTGTATAAGTTGGCGACCCCACAGAAAGCCCGTTGTGACCAATAGGTTGGGAACCCGTGTGCTAGAATGTTTGGGTGACATAGTTGTGTACCTACTGCCTAACCATAATTCACTCACTCAATCAATCAAATGCTGAATTGTCATTACATGGTATACGGGCCAGATAATTTGGTTGAAATATTGGCTTCTAGTAAATGCAAACTCAAAACACCTTTATACTATAAAACTATGTTTGTGTAACTACTGTAAAACATTTTTTAGATAATTAAATAATTTTATTTAACAAGAAAAAATTTAATGAATTATAAAAATGAATTAATAATGAATTATAAAAATGTCTTTAAAAATTTCACATTTAAACATTTACTACACCAGAAAATATTAATTTGGAGTGCTTGATTGGCAATATAAAAGTATATATATTCATTTTAATAAATATTAAACTGTCATGGTAACAGTCTGTTGGTCTTAGGCTATGGTTACATAGTGCTAAATAAAATGAGGATGACAGATTTGACATTTTTAAAAGTCTAATGGATTTTTATTCTGTTATAATCAGTTCATCTACACCCCAATCTTCATAACTGCCGTCTGGTAGATACCTTCTTATGATGATAGGGATTTTTCTAGCCCTAAGAAAATAAAGAATCATTAATTAATACAATAATTTATATTCTCTCTGATATACTGATATACAGAAAAATCTTCAATACTTCAATAAATTTAGATATACTGTAATTTGGTTAGATGCTCTTATCTCTTATCTAAATTAATAATTATAATTTTTAATAATTTATTAAAAAATTTAGAATCATCTGGGAAAGACTTCAATCTGCAACATCCGCTTACCATACAATGCGCTTGCCAGTTATGCCACCCTGACGTCCAGGTGGCATAACTGACAAATTTAGATACACGAGGCATGTTCAAAAATTAATTACCAAAAATTATCGAGAGACCTAAACTAAATTGTAGTGGGCTGTTCGAACAAAGATGCTAACTAGACACCAGAGTGATTTTACTTCACAATAATGCATTCCATATTCTGCCCACAGTGATTGCTAAAAAATTTAAGTGAGCATCTGCTGTATAATATCAATATAACATCTTTCCCTTCCACCTGTTTTTGCACTTAGACAATTTAACAGCAATGAAGAGCTGCAGACACTCATGCAAAGGTGAGTCTGTAAGTTTGCCAGGCTCAACTTTGACAAGGGTTTGCCAAATTATCCATAGCTATAGTGCATCCCAAAAGTATATATAAATCAACATTTTACTACTTTCAAAATTGTTAACAATTTAAGAAAAATAAGAATGATTTCATTTGTATATTTGAATTACTTTACACTGATTTTTGATAACTTTAATTTTAAAGTTATCAAAAAGATTATTATATTAATAATTTAACAACAAAATTATATTTTTTGCTGTCCTAAAAGTTTACATAATAGAACGGAATTGTAAAATTTCAAACATAAGAAACTTACAATTACAAAAATAATAATAAATAATGTCAAGTAACACTAACTTTGTTGTCAAGTAATAATTTGAATATTGAATCAAAACTTTTCAAAATGCCACTTGGAAGAGAAAGAAATTGCAAGAATATGGAAATTAAAAGCAGAAAACTGTCGTGTCAAGGAAATTGCTGTTTTAATGAATAGATCTACTCCTGGAATTTATAAAATTTTGGAAAAATCATTACCAATACTTTCTGAACATCGATCAGGAAGACTCAAAATCACATCTCAAAAGGATGGTAATCAAATTGTACGCCTTGCATCACAACAGGATAAATCAGTTGTCAAATTTTGTTTCAAAATGAATTAAAAATATCAAAAAGCACTGTTCATCGAAGAAGTTTAACAGTTCCACATACAAAATTTTCTGCCATGATGAAAAACACCACCACTAACAAAACACAAACTGGCAAGAATGCAGTGAACTGAAGATCACAGTTCTGTTGAATGATCAATGTCTCTCAGTTCTTTTCAGTGATGAAAAAAGTTTAATTTGGATGGCCTAAGTACTGGCATTAAATCAGGAAAAAAGAGTGCAGTTTTTAAGCAGGCAAAAGGGTGGCAGTTCTATTATGGTGTGTGGCTGCTTTGAATTTAATAGTTTATCAAATTTAATGATTTTAACTGGTAGACAGACATCTATCAAGAAATCCAAAAAATAATTTAATACTTATTGGAAAAAAAATTAGAAAACCTGATTGGATTTAACAATAGGACAATGCCAGTATTCATTGTTCACCCTCAACAACTAAGTGGACAGCAAGAAGCCGGACATAAATCTGATCGAAAACTTGTGGGTGCATTCTTGCTTGAAAAATTTATGCTAATAACAGGCATTTTACAACAGTTTCAGAGCTTAAACAAGAAATCACTGAGTGATAGTTTCAAATGGATCCAGAAATCTTACAATTTAATTAAATCAATGCCTAACCTCATTTTTGAAGTCATTAAACATAATGGCAGTTCTATTTCATATTAAAATAATTTTCATGAATTTATGTTATAAACTATTGCTCAAAGTTAAATTTATCTATATTTTTGGAATATCACAAACAAGTATTTTGTGTTTAACACTTTACATAACTGTCAAATATTATAAAAACAATTATATAACACTGTATTATGCTATAAATAAATAATAATAATCTCTTGCATTGTTAACAAATATTTAATATGTAAAAAAATAAAAACATACAGATTATCCTTATTTTTGGGATACACTATATGACAAACATCTGAATCTTAAAGGTGAATATGCTCAAAAATAGCTCTATGTACTGTACATATGTTCCCTATGAAATAAATTTGCTTATTTAAACTTACATTTATATTCATTTCTGCTCAATTGAAACTTAATTTCTGGATGTGTCAGATATTAAAATTTGATAATGATACTGAAGATGAGATAATGAAATTAGATAAGATTTAAGTATTTTTTTACTGTAATGAAAAATATTGGGTATGTCCATACATGGCTGGATGCAATAGGTGCAAGGCCCGATTGAATTTTTTATGCGGGCCCCTCAAACTTTAAATAAAAAAATTAATTAACAGTTAATTTACATATTGAAACATAGATTTTAAATATCTATTTAAAACAAAATCCAATTATAAAAATCAAAAGTCATGAACCATAAGGTAGACAAATTTCTACATTAAAAAACCTGTACCAAAGATAAAAACAACTACATTTCATTGAATATAAACATACATAGATATTATTTCTACAGAAATTGCTTTTAGCTCTAAGTATAATTAAATTAATTAAAATATCTATAACTGTGAGGCAGATAATAGTAAGAGCTTATCACACCAATGATAATACCAACTGATGAGGGACTATTTTTCTATTGGAAAATAGTCCAAAATGCATTTTGGATTTTTACGGTTTTTATACTTATGTAATCATCTTATTGTTCACCCCTTTTTGTTTTATTAAATGTTTTTACTTTGATTCTTGAGCACTTGTGCCCATTATCATTGATGTGATAAACTTTTGCTATTATCTGTCTCACAGTTAAAGATATTTTAATTAATTTAATACATAGATATGTTTTAGTATTTCTATATTTTTAAATGAATATAACTACATAAATTTTTGCCATGAAAAATCTTCTAATATGTTGATGAATGAATATAACTGAATTTTATTGAATATAAACCTATAAAGAGATGTTTTATATGTTCCAAAGTTTTTGTTCTGTAAAATCTTCTAAAATAGTATCAAAATCCAACTGGTTTGCTTCTTGACTCTCAGTCGACATGATTGACATGAACTTTTTAAGAAAAAAATTTGTTGTTATATTTTTAATAATAATATGCCTAGATATTTATTTTTGTAACATGTACTATTTTTAAATATATAAATTTTGATGTGCTGCAAGGCCCAATTGGCGCATGTCGCTCCAATTGCCTCAAATCTGACTCTGATCGACATTCTTATTCATCTAATATAACAATTAATATTACTATTATTAATTGATAGACTAGCTAGAGTACGTGATTCTTGAATAGCTTTAAAGGCATTTATTTTGTTATGAGTTTATGACTATTTCCAATTGCTTGAAGAAAGTATGAGTGTAATTCTTTGTGGAATAATCTTATTGATGCTATTCTGATTGATACCATATTTCAGTTGTGTTGTCCATCAAATTGATGTTTTAAATATAGGATATTCTAATTCAAATTTCATTTCCAACTTCTTTCTGAGTTGATAAGCTCTTACAGAATAAGTTTACAAAGGATTAGGTTTGAAAGTCAGAGGTATTTCAAACATGATAGAACATTCTAATTGGATGTTAATTGCTTTTTGGATTTTGAAGATGGACAAATTCTAAATGCACTTAGTCCTTTATAATAAGGAAGGTCTTTTTATGACTCCTGTAAGCATAAAGGTAATATTTTATTTATGTTATTGTCTTAGTACATGATTAAGATATTCTGAAGATTTTAGATTTTAGTTAAAGAAAAAAATATATATAATAAATTCTTTCCTTATGAAACTTTTTTGAAATGTACTTCTGTGAGATCTGAATAGTCCTGAGTCTACAATTAATAATTATTTTATGATGTTAAATATTATCATAAAATATTATTTCGTTTTGGTGAGAAATTAACGATTTTCCAACGTGGGAAAGATAGATAACAGATGCTACTTCCTTCTAGGGAAGTTAGAACATCCTCTGTTTTTCCCTTATCTGCGAAAAATATAGCTTTGATGGGAAATGTTCACCCCTCATTTATTCCCCTTTCATCCGTTCACATGAAAGAGTCTCTGTCTGATGATTGGTCGAAAATCAGCAGATATAGCGGAAATTTATCAGAATTCGGGGAGTTCATCGACAGACATAGAAGAGTCAGGACTCCATTCATATTGCTCCTAAAGGCCAACGCCTATGCTNATAAAGAGATGTTTTATATGTTCCAAAGTTTTTGTTCTGTAAAATCTTCTAAAATAGCATCAAAAGCCAACTGGCTTGCTTCTTGACTCTCAATCGACATGATCGACACAAACTTTTTAAGAAAAAAATTTGTTATATTTTTAATAATAATATACCTAGATATTTATTTTTGTAACGTACTATTTTTAAATATATAAATTTTAAAAGCAGCCCCTTCAAGCACGGGGCCCAACTGGTGCATATCCTTCCAATCGCCTCAAATACGGCCCTGTGTCTATATTCACAAGTAGAATAAACTATATTCAAAGTGCAAGAATAACCATATGGAGACAAAACTGGGTATTGATTACATAACACAAAGCAATGGAAAGTTGAAGAATTTATTAAGATAATACAAATTTTTTGAAATGTTATTATTGTAATATCAAATGCTCAAGAAAAGATATTGTAGACAATATTCAGATTTCTAATGAAGCTTCTTTAAACATTATAGAAGGACAAGAGAATCTCCTATGATAAAAACTTGGTAATTACGGAATTTATTCCAGTCATTGCTGAGAATTTTGTACTACCTAATTTAACAATAAACTTTCAATTTCAAATATCAAAATATCTAAATCTGTCACTGTGGTTTTCTTACACCTTAGAAAAACATATTAAAATGATTTTCTACATTAATAGAATTTAAATATCCAATAAACCTACAGTATCCATCAATTCACATAGGAAATTATCTTTTATAAAACATAATACAGTTGAGTGTCAATTATACAAATCAATTGGGGACTGGGGTTGTTCGGAAAACCGATATTTCGGATAACCGATTAGGTACGAAAAAATATATTAACCTATCCCATCCTGAAATTTTTCTCCGTTGCGTGTTGCTTCGCGTTGAATTTTCGTCGATGTTAAGCCTAATGTAAACTTTTTAAAATAATAATCGTGACTATTGTATTGTTAAAAATTATTTCTTTATTTTGTACTAACAAAATAAATTTATTGAAAAATGTAAAAACAAAAAATTATACTTCAGAAGTTAATTTAGTATCAAAAACATAAAATATTTGAGTAGCCCAAGACATAGCCAAAGATTGAAGTGCCACAGCACTGGAGAAAATTTAAATTTGCCGACTGGCATTCTTTTCGGATAATTGGCATTCGGATAATCGACGCTCTACTGTAGTTATAATAACATTATTATTATTTCGAAGAATCAATGAAGTCAGTGTATTACGAACAAATATAACTTTCTTTGGCAATTTTAGATTTAAATTTGTGCAAATCAATTATTTATAATATTGATAGTTATAATGAAATGCTTAATATTATAGTAAAATGGCACATCAATCACTTTATTTTAATTGAATTAAGAATTTAAAGTAGAGTGTTGTTGCTTACCAAGCATCAACCTACTGTAAAAGCAATGCTCAAATAAAAATTTATACAGATCAGTTTTTATTCTGGAATTGTTATATTTGGTACAATGGGGTCTAACTATTCCAATGAGTTGGGAAATTAGGTTATAATATCTACATCATGTTTATTTTAATAAGAAAAATGCATAAGCATAAAAGTTCTTAATGTCATCTCTTACACATTTTAGTCCCATTATTACCAATTGCTTATCATAGCAAGACTTGATATAACTATCATAAGACCCTAACAAAGAAACTTTTGACATTTTTTACTATTCCATTATACTTGTAGTCATTTTTATATGGGCAGTTGCCACAAAATTTATACCCATAAACATTTAAGGAAGTTGCTATGCTACAACATCCTGAATGTATGTGATTCTCTTTTTTAGCTTTTGTGACTGCCTTTGCAAGGTGTTTGTTCCTTCAACTAACTTTATACAAATCTGAAAATTTCATGAGACTAATATTATGCTAATAACTATTACAATATACATGAAACATTCCACCTATGCAAATAGGTAGAAATATACTACAATAAATCCATTTTTGTATGCAAGTGCTAAATTGAAAAACAAAGTATTTTCAAAAATACTTTGATGTTTCACATTACACAACATTCATTGTTTCACAGTTCACAAGTCCTGAAAAATTCAAGTGACTAAAATAATATAATATGTAGTCTAGTGAAGTAAAAAGAACTTCAATACATTATTATTATTATTAGAATATATTTACTGACTATATCAGAAAAAAAAAATTATTATTCATCAAAATTTAATTTAGACATTTTTAGGAGGAGGAGGAGGAGAATAAGGGCAGTATATGTCACATATAATCTCAAAATTAAAACATTTCAGGTTTTAAAAGATCCCCTATATCAACAGCAAATTAAATGTTGTGAAACATCAAAGCATACAGCAAACATACAGTAGTTTTACAAAATATATAATACAGAAGCAACTAAAATGTCTTTGTTTCCATCCTGTCCAATCACCAGGAATTAAAAGTTTTCCTTTGCAGAGATGACCTTTCATTAGAGGCTATGCCTTTGCAATATTATGTAAAACAGTTTTAAAAATGATTGCTGATAAACCAAAAATTGTAAAATATATATACATAATTTAAATACACATAGTTTCACTTAAAAACTCCCAGAATAGCCATAATGAACGCAATTGCTTTGTTGATCCTCACTGCACTGATTAATGCTGCTGTTGTGTCTAAATAAATGTCATAATTATTAATAAAATCTGAACAATTTTTAAATCAATTCCCTAAATGTAATTTGAATAAAGAACACTTTTTTAAAATCATTTATCTCATCATCAGATCAGATCATTAATATCTTAAAAAATATTTAATCAAACAAATCTCCAAGCTCCTTAAAACTTAAATGTTTAAGCAAAGTTATTGACTAACAAAGCTTGTAACTAAGAAAATATCATCGATAGTTAGCAAGGGTAATTAGTTTTCTTCATTTCTTTTCAAATTAGCCAATGTTTTAACAGAATCATTATTTGTTCTATCCACAATATAAATATATAATTATGAGAAATAATGTAAATTTCATTATGCAAACTTTCTATATCTTATAATATTAAACTAAAAAACAAAAGCATACTTTAATTCCTTCATAGCAATCTGCAATGGATCTGTTTCACCTTCCAGCTCTACCATTACTGGAGCACACATCCTGAAAGAATAAATAATACATTAATCATTATTTTAGAAATTAAGTAAACTTTCTGATCTCTTTTCATAGCATCCCCCCTATAACACGGTAGATATGTTCCGTTCTTTATGAAATTCATGTTCTAAAAATCCTTGAATACATGAGCCAATCACAGCCTGGCACGTATGCAATTTACGGACTATGGCTGTTTGAAAGGTTTTCTTCCATAAAATTAATCGATTCTAGACTAATTCGACTCAACGTTTCCAAAATACGTATAATGTTTTGGGAATAATCCATATAAACTATGCTATAAACAAAAAATTGTAGGACTACTTACTGAGCGTGCACCGTTCGACAATGCCATTGCTTAAGCTTGTTTTCGTCATGGAGCTTGTCATCGAATGGTGCTCGTGTGCTTCCTGATAAATTATTTTTTTTGCGAAAAATTCGCTGAACTTTGGAGACATCATTAATATAAATATAATTTTTATGGACATTAAATAATAAATAGTTTTTAGTAGGTCCGCTGCTCGTTTAAACTCAACGGTTTGTACAATATCTGCTATTGGTCTAGATTCGACCAATCCTGTCGTGACACAAGTTGGNACAAATAATCAAAGAAAGTGACCAACAGATGACAATCATGTAGTTTCTAATTTTCAAAATAAGCTAACTGAAAAGCATTAAGTTCGTAATGTGATAAAAAAATAAATTTGTTATTATCACTTGAAATGAAAAAACAGATATAACTAAATTCACTATTAATTTACGTACTTGGTTGTGAAATTGCAATACAGAAAAAATTTTGAATATTTTAATGATGTTTACAGAAAAACTTAAAAAGAAATATTTTGAAATATCAATGTCAAGTGTGATATTACAAAATATTTTATTATCTGAAAATTTGTAAAGCCGTAACTATGTAAATGTTTATGCACATTCTTTAATTTACAAGAAAGCATTTGACTACTATTACTAAAATAAAATAAGTGCTGTTTAATTTGAAATTCCACATTACATTAAATTTATTTTTGAACTTATCTAATGAAAACAACTAACAAAAAAAAATATTTTGAAAAAAGAAAGAGGGATAAAGATTTTTTTAATAACTGTAGGAGTTACGAATAACTAAATCAATCCTAAGATTACACTTTTGAAAACTAAAACAAATTATATAATATCTTATGTAAATATACTAGTACATTAAAAGCATATTTTAATGTACTAGTATAATCTTAATTTATTAATAGTATATTCATTAACAAATAAATTAAATTCAAATTTTCAAAATAGAGCTCTCAAGTCTTGTGGTGGCTGCCATCTTGTTTATTGGCTTATGGAGCAAAAAAAAAAAAGCTTGCAGTTTGCTTGCAGCACGCTGACAGCAACCAGAAGCCAGAGATTTCGAACAGAGGTGCTGGCAGCACACAGATTTTGAATACATCTTAGACTTTATATTGATCTTTATTTAGGTGTCGATATGCGTTTCAGGATCTTGTCCCTCTTCTATTGGCTACAGAATTAGTTTTACAATATTATAAAAACTTCAATAAAATTTGCTTTTAAAAAGAATTCTCTCTTCTGACAGCTACAGAACAGGGCAAGAGCCTGAAACGTATGTCAGCACCTAACTGAAAATGGATGTAAACTAAAAGCCTAGTTGACTATTGATAAGTGCTTCGTCGTGCAATATAGATAAATAAAAATAAATACTATTTTAAAATGCATCTCTTTTACCAAATAAATATATTATATTTAGAAAACATTTTACATTATTTGTGTTCTGATAACAATTTTAAATTAAACAACAAATTCAAAAAGAAAAAATTAAATAGTAAATGCCATAACTTACGCTATCTGTAATGCTCTCGTTCCTAACACCCTCGCCCTTTCATATTTTGTCATATATGGTGTAGTGATACGCTTTTGATTTTGTTGAGGTTGCTGCTCACTGGCTGACATAATATCCACATTTTCCTAAAAATGAAAAAGTTATCTTTTATTAAATGATCTGAATTGATGCTCAATTTCATTACGTACACCCAAACACAATCAGTATTAGATTAAATACTATTTTTGCTAGTTTAATTGGTTGGCCTTTATTTAATTAATGTTAAGTTTTAGCTAAATACAAATGATATATATATATATATATATATATAATTTAGTGTAAACACACAATTATTTAATGAACAATCATTTAGAAAGCTCCAAAATAATGGTCAATATAAGAAAACTTGAATAAATTAAAAGGGTTTTCCACTAGGGGCACTTGAACAGTGTACAGCAGACTAGATAGTGAAGCTACAGCTGTCAAATTTGGAGGTTATAGTAATTAATGTTGGGCAAATCATCATGGAAAGCTAATGTTGAGCAACGTGTACAAATCATTAAACTTTACTATCAAAATGAGTGCTCAGTTTGAGCTACATTCCGTATGCTATATGATTTTTACAGTGCAAACAATCATCCTCTTGAGTTGACTATTCGTTGTTTGGTGGACAAATTCGAAACAACTGGTTTAGTAAACAATCAAACAACAATATGAAGATTGGGGTGTACATCAACAAAACATGAGATCTTCAGAAAACACTGCTGCAGTGAACAAGAGTGGGCAGGATAATCTCAGCAGTCAATTCCTCGTCGTGCCCAAGAACTTGTCCTTTCGCAGACCTCTACTTGGCGAATTTTGCATCAGGACTTGGGCCTGCACCCATACAAAATTCAACTGACCCAGGAACTGAAGGTAGACGACCATAGGCAGTGCTGAGCATTCGCTGACTGAGCTCTGGAGCAGTTGGAAGTGGACCCCAATTTCGGACAGAAAATCATCTTCAGCGATGAAGCCTATTTTTGGATGAATGGCTACGTCAACAAGCAAAATTGTTGCATTTGGAAAGATAACAATCCATATGAGACCCATCAGTTGCAAATGCATCTAGAAAAAGTCACTGTTTGCTGTGGATTTTGGTCTGGCGAAGACCAAAATCCACAGCAGAATCCAGCACACTACTTTGGGAAACCTGAGGTGCCAGCACACTACTTTGGGAAACCTGAGATGAAATTCATGCAAGCTTTGTCCTTTACCATCTAGCATAATTCACAATTGACATAAAAAAAAGGAGGGTTCTCTTTGTGCCCAATGGATAAAAATAGCAAAAAAAATTTAAACTTTAATATACAATCATTTTCATTTTAATGTGAATACTTTCCTTAGGCATGAAATCTATTATCTACAAATAATCAAAGAAAGTGACCAACAGATGACAATCATGTAGTTTCTAATTTTCAAAATAAGCTAACTGAAAAGCATTAAGTTCGTAATGTGATAAAAAAATAAATTTGTTATTATCACTTGAAATGAAAAAACAGATATAACTAAATTCACTATTAATTTACGTACTTGGTTGTGAAATTGCAATACAGAAAAAATTTTGAATATTTTAATGATGTTTAAAGAAAAACTTAAAAAGAAATATTTTGAAATATCAATGTCAAGTGTGATATTACAAAATATTTTATTATCTGAAAATTTGTAAAGCCGTAACTATGTAAATGTTTATGCACATTCTTTAATTTACAAGAAAGCATTTGACTACTATTACTAAAATAAAATAAGTGCTGTTTAATTTGAAATTCCACATTACATTAAATTTATTTTTGAACTTATCTAATGAAAACAACTAACAAAAAAAAATATTTTGAAAAAAGAAAGAGGGATAAAGATTTTTTTAATAACTGTAGGAGTTACGAATAACTAAATCAATCCTAAGATTACACTTTTGAAAACTAAAACAAATTATGTAATATCTTATGTAAATATACTAGTACATTAAAAGCATATTTTAATGTACTAGTATAATCTTAATTTATTAATAGTATATTCATTAACAAATAAATTAAATTCAAATTTTCAAAATAGAGCTCTCAAGTCTTGTGGTGGCTGCNTTTAAATATACAAATGATTGAATGATTTGAATATTAAAAAGTCCAACTTATCATTGGTATGGTATAAAGGAATAAAAAGTTTTCAGTAGAGTTTGGCTGGCATAGCTATGGTACAGAAAACTTGTTATTCCATACCAATGCCAAGTTGAATTTTTTAATATGATTCAAATCGTTCTATATCATTCGTATTTTTAAAGTTGTTTTCTGTCACAACATTAGAACCTGATGAACTAATGTTATTGATCTTATTTAAATATCATTAAATTTATCTAAATATCACTTTTGGATAGCTGTTTTTATGTTCAACTATGTCTTGTCTCTTTAATCCGACATTAAGTTCGGTAGGCTATCATTACAGCTTCCAGGTTAGACACTTCTTTTATTGTTTCAACATATGCATTTCGGACTTATATAAATGTTAAGTCCCTGCACTGAAGAGGGACTTAACATTTATATAAGTCCAAAATGTATATGTGGAAACAATAAAAGAAGTGTCTAACCTGAAAGCTGTAATGATAGCCTACCGAACTTAATGTCGGATTAAAGAGACAAGACATACTTGAATCATTAAATTTGTTTTTTATTACTGGATTAAGGTATATTTTGAATTAATTATAATACATCCAGTTGTCTTTGCAGTAATTAATGTATCAAACATATAAATTTGTAATTTACATAGTTTTAGAAATTAATTTGATATAATTTAATATACTGTGAAATCTCACTATAACGAATTTGAGGATTCCACACAGTATTTATTAAACTGAAATTTTGTTATAGTGTCAATGTGGGTAAATATGAGACACTCTTCAAAACTTTTGTAACAGCATTTGTTGAGATCAGTATTTTACAAAGAGAAATACATGACAAGGTTTACAGATGGTGTTAAAACTAATGAAGTATTAATTTTTTCTTTATGTATGAGAAATGTTTAGCAAAAGATTTTTTCACCTTTCTCAAAATTTTACCTTCAAAAATATAAAATATGAGACACTGGGAGGTGAAAAATGACATAACCATTATATTACCATAAGGATGCCTATGCCAACAGGGAAGTTAATAATGTTGTACTGCAGGTTAAATGCTAGCCATTTTTGTATAAAACATTGCTCCATAATATTTAGAAGTAAGTAGCTAAGATTAAATAGTCATCAATTTTGGAAAGTCTCATATTTACCCACATTGACCCTATTTTTAATTTTTCTCTGATAATTATTTGGCATCTTCATTATTTCATTCAAAACTCACACCCATAAGAACAAAGAAATATTTTTACTATGATACAGCGCCACTAAAGTAAAAAAAGTTTCATGGAAATTAATGACTGGTGAATAAAATCTAGTGTATGTCATTTTTTATCTCATTTTGAAATTCACAAAACTCAGACAAAAGATGATATATGCAATAAAAACAACTAACAGTGTTTATATACTACATACAAATTTCTAATTAAATATCCATATCTTTTGCAAATATATACAGAGCTAAAATTAGTTAACTCACAGAAAAGTTTTTGTACCCATTTTTGTAGCGTTTCTTAAAAATTAAAGCGACTCAATGAAATCATAGTCATTTTTCATTCAGAAAAGTTATATGTTAAAAAGCACTAAATAAACTTTATTTTGTATCAGTAAAGGACAGACATAGATTAAGTCACATTCATAACACTCATTTTTTCCATTTTTCAGACTGCCTCATATTTACCCACATTGATCCTAAATAAAATGTATATAAATTATTATCAAGCAAATTAAATAACTAAATATGAAGTCTACATATGAAACAAAAATGTTATACATGTTATTTATATTGTTTTATTATTATTACAGTAGAGCATCAATTATCCAAAACAATTCGGGACTGGGGTTGTTCAGATAACTGATCAGTTACAAAAAAATATATTAAACACAAAACTGTACTGTATATATTTTGTATAACACACTTACAAATACCTACCTTATATTACCTTACATATAGTAGTACATTAAAGTAGGCCTATAGTTTAGGTTGGCAGGGAGAGGGAGAGCACCGCAATGTTCACAGTGCCAGCAGAAATTTGAATTTGAAGGAAAACTTTCGGTTAACTGATGTTTCGGTTGATATTTGAATAATCAATGCTCTACTATATTTACTTATTTCATGTAAATAATTTAGTTTTGAATTTGTGAATTTAATTACTTCTTTCAAATCATTCTTCCTACATTTCAGTTTCCTTTACCAGAGAACTGACCAGAAGTGCACCAATGTTCCTTTTAGATATAATCTTACCATCGTGTTTTAAGTGAAAAATACAGTTATTGATAAGGTAAGTGACAAAATTGAAAGAAGCATAAGCAGCCATCCTCACAAGTGTCTGTGACAACTTGTAGCTGTTTTTGAGATTAGTACCGTACACATGCAACTTGTTAGTTTTCAAGCTCTTTCCTTATTTTTTATTTAAACATTCTTAGAGATGTCTGGTGATAAACAAAATTTATCTAGAATTTATTTAAAAGAAGAAACAATTTTGTAATTGATTTTATTGATAATAGTATTCTATGGTCCAAATATATAAATTAAGAATTTAATATTTCCAAATATTCAAAAACAAAATTATTATTTCCGAAGGGCCAGAAAGTTTTAATTTGACTAATGTTTTTGGATACAAGTAATTCATCTCAAATTTAAAATTTTTAGATCCTAGAAACTTAGTGTTTTTTCCCTCTAAATGTAATGTAATACACAGGTTGTCTAAAATGAAACTGAACTTTTGCTCTAGAAATATAACTAGGTAGCAAAATTAGCATTAATGGCCAAATCTGAATTGGTTTATAACAATCCTCTGTGTGGCATGAAATGTAAACTTTTACAAAAATATGTAAGTAACCAAAACAAGTAATGGGGATGATTGCCTAAGTGAAACACAAGTTTATGACTGGTTTAGTCAATTCAAAGATGGCCAGGAGTCAATCAAAAACAATCAGAAAAGTGATCCTTCAAAGAAGTCGACTATGAAAAGTACAACAAATATTAGGAAAGAGTCCAAATGTCGCCTGTAAAATGTTGTCAGAGGAGTTGGGAGTGTCAAAGGACTCTGTCCACATAATTTTACACAATTATTTTAACAAACATAGAGTCTGGTCCTGCTTTGTTGCACACTCTCTCACTGAAGATCAACAGACATGCATTCATGATGCACAGAACATCATCAAAATGGCTCACAGCAATCCAAATTTTCTCAAAACTATTGTCATGGGTGATGAAACATCAAACTTCCATGTGGAAGTCATCAGACGAGCCCACACCCAAAAAACTTCCTTTCCAAGACTAGACAGAAACTGGATGAGCCATATTACAAAAAGTCTTCCCTCAACTTACTCTATTGATGTCACACCATCAATATATCCATACCATCAAAAATTATACCATATACCATCAATTATACCACAATATACCATCAAAAAATATATTTTGAATAAAAAATACTTTAAAAATGTCCACCTAAATAACAAATGCACTATCAGAAATCATCCATCAAAAACAAATATTGTTTTGCAACCAGAATTGGCACAATGCCTATAAAGTGGAGGTAGGTCATAGATAATAATAGCCAATACGTTTTTGCTTAATTAAATTCTTAAATTATATTAATTTTATTCAAAAACATGACAGAAATTACTAATTAATGCAGTGCATTAATACTGCAATACACATCTTTACATATGGAGATAATTACTCCATTATGTGAGCAGAAATATATTTGTACAGTTATATCTAAAAAGAAACCAAGTAAATGAATTCTAGTGCTAAATATGACATCAAAACATTTAACATTCATATGTAGCTCTGTTGTTGACAACTTAAAACAGAAAAATATTCAAATACCACGGAACTGTTCAGTTATGCCAAACATAATGAATCTCATACATACTGCAGATATACTTGAGAGCACTACAACAGCCTCTTTATTACTATACTTATTACTCAGTCTTTAGACACAAGTCTAGCATTAGAATATGAACTTATTTTCAAAAATAGTCTTGATATGCTAAAGCTAGTCACATGTCTAAAGACGGGGTAACAAAGAAGCCATTGTTACTCTCAGTGGCCGAGTGTAACCACTGGCAGTAACTCATTGTTACTGCCAGTGGTCTCAAGTATATTTCAAGCTAGACAAGAAGAGTTATTATAGTATAGTCTCATACTGTATATTTCTAAATTCAATACTTATATTACCAGTGAGTTCTCTGTTGAACGATCTGACATCATGTTTTGTAGAATAAAGAAACATTTCTGGTGAAAGGGCACTTTTTATGATGGCCGACTTAATTAAGAAGACAACAGTTATGACTGTTTTGCTAAATAATTAAAGTGACTCACTTAACCATTATTTGAATAAATCCTTTTATTCAAATGAGCCCTTCTCTATATCATTTTTGGCACTTGTGCAGTTTAGGGGATACAGCTATTTGAAAGGTTTTCTCCCATAACATTGATAGATTCTAGACTAATTTGACTCAAATATTTCCAAAACACATATAATTTTTTGGGAATAATTAATATAAAATATGCTATAAACAAAAAATTGTAGGAATACTTACCGAGTATGCACCGTTCGAAGACGCCATTGCTTAAGCTTGTTTTCGTCACAGATTGGCACATCAGACAGCAGACGTGTACGAAGAGTGTCACATGACTACTCATCTGACATGTTTCCTAATAACTTATTCTTTTTACAAAGAATTTGCCAAACTTTGGAGACATCATTAATAGAAATATTAAAACATCATTCCATTCTAAATATGGATTAAAATCAACATATAACAACATATGATAATGCAATAAATAACTAATAATTCTGCTCTGCTTTTAAATTTCCTAATCTCTTTCATGTCCTAAACAAAATTGTGGTGAGGCCGAAAACGCTTGTTCCGAAATACACTGCTGGCCATTAAAATTGCAACACCAAGAAGGAAAGCAAATAAAAAAAAAAAATATTTATTGTATGTAAATAGTATGGCATGAAGACAAAATGATTAAATTTGCAAGCAGTTTGGGGTTTACAGGGGTGCGAAATTAGTACACACATTTGCCACCCCTGGCAGCTAAAACGGCCCTTATCCGGTTATGCATAGAGTCAAACTTGGCTTGGATGACAGAAATGGGCAACTCATTCCATGCTGCTTCAAGTCTATGCCACGCTTTATCAACCGTATTAGATGGAAAGGGGTGGCAGGCCAGTCTCTCAGCAACCCATGACCAGATGTTTTCAATTGGTGAGAGATCTGGAGACCATGCAGGCCAGGGCAACAATCAAATACCCTCTGTATTGAGGAAGGTCAGAACATGACGTGCAACATGAGGTCTTGCATTATCTTGTTGGAAGATGAAATTTTGCAGGCCTCGAAGATAGGGCACAACCACTGGACGTAAGATGTCAGAAATGTACCGATCTGTGTTCAAATTACCATCGATCCAAACTAGAGATGTCTGTGTCGTGTACCCAATGGCTGCCCATATCATTACACCAGGTGCAGGGCCCCTATGCCGATATCGAATGCAAGCAGGCGACGAGCGATCTCCTCGGAGCCTCCAGACACGTATACGGTCATCAGAATGCTGCACACAGAACTGGGACTCGTCTGAAAAGACGACATTCTGCCACTCCTGTATTCAGCTTTGTCATTGGGTGCACCAGAGTTGCTGTCTCTCTCTATGCTACATTGTCAAGGGAAGCCGAAGTAATGGTCGCCGTGCTGACAGTCCACACTGCTGCAAACATCGTTGCACCATACAAGCAGATACTGGATGTACTGTGAACAAGCTCATTTCCTGACTAATGGTCCATGATATGGTTGTATGGTTTTGCACAGCCGACCTCACAATATGTCTGTCCTCTCAGGTGTTATTCATGAGAGGGCATTGAGATCCTGCATGCTGTTCAGTAAGACCCTCAGCAACCCATCAATTCCATATTCACATGACAGTAGTTGGATTTCGACCAGTGCGGGTGACAATATTACGGAACGATAATCCACTCTCTCAATAGGCAATGATCCTGCCTCTATCAAATTCCAACACTTGCTGGTAAGCATTTCTTCTTGTTATTTGAGGCATACACACAATATTCTAATGAAATCCCGACCTTACAAAGCAATTTCTGAATGAGAAATCCACTGCACAACTTTTATGCAGTGCTTCAGAGGTCGTTTGTCCCTCCTGCATCATCTAAATGCACTGAAATACTAATCATTTGCATATCTCAACCTCTTCCATTCATATGATTTTGATGTTCGCATGATCATTCCTTCCTGGTGTTGCAATTTTAATGGCCAGCAGTGTATAATCATTACCAGGGATAAAGGTTCAATGAGTGTGTACATGGATGATTGTATAATATTTATTTACATCAAGACATTAAATATCTTATGTTGCATCTTATTAATATTTATCATCATAATATATATCATGATAGAATTATTGTTGTTAGAGACTGGTTTTATCTTTGTTGTTTCATATAGTCAATAATAAGTCATTTCTAATTACAATAAAAATACTATAGTACATTATGATCTATCATGTGATGTCTCCAAAGTTCAGCGAGTTCTTCGCAAAAAACAGTAAGTTAGCAGGAAACACATCAGATGAGTAGTCACATGACTGAATAGCAGCGACAAATGTCACATGACACGCTTCATACACATCTGCCGTCCGATGTGCCGCTCCATGACGAAAATAAGCTTAAGCAATGGCACACACTCGGTAAGTATTCCTACAATTTTTTGTTTATAGCATATTTTATATGAATTATTCCCAAAAAATTATATGTTTTGGAAATGGAAATGAGGCAGTTAGTCTAGAATTGATTAATGTTATGAAAGAAAACCTTTCAAACAGCCATATCTCCTAAACTGCACAAATGCCTCATTTTCTTCTATACTGGGTCCTTCTTTAATAATTTGAATTTCTTGAATATTTATATCATTAGGAAGACTTAAAGAGGGTCAAATATCGATCATGTAGATAGTTTGTTTCTGAAAAAAAGCTTAATATTTCAATATTGACCAAATTATCCAACATAATAGTGCAATCGCATGTTTTATCATATATAGATCGTTCATTAATCTGTCCGCTATTACAGCATCCACATCAAGAGCTAATCTATAGTTTCTATAAGCGAAATTTACTTGTTTCATGAATGTCATGTTAGTTTGTTGAATACTCAACGGTCTTTCAAGTCGTTGAATATAGAAACGTACGTATAGACATTGTGTTGTCACCGTGCACACAAAGAAAACATTACCTCGTTCTGATCGATTTCATCGAGATTTTCATCGTCCTCAACTTCATTAAAATCATCGTCTCCAACACTAAAGAAAACGGTTTAGTTGACATTTTATAGACGAATTAAGAAAAAATGCATTCAAATTCACATTAGATTTACTTACTCGTCAGGCTCGAAATCTTCGTCAGCCATACCTACTACGATCTTGTTACCCAACTGCTAAAGTCGTAAGACAAAACGTGCAACTAAACATTCAGATCACTGTTGCCAAGTCCCAGATGCTTACGCCCCCTAGATCCGGTGGAAAAACTCCCTTTTAAAAAAACCCTTTAAAATATTTTCCCATCCTTAAAAAATTTTAATAAACTTGTCGAGATGCCATCTCCCAATTCCAGGGTCTGCATAATGGTTAAAACTGTTCTGAATTCTAGAAAAAATCATACATTTTTATCCACGCAAGATCGTAAATTCCACATTTTGCACTTGTAATCTCATCTATAATACTCGATACGTATGTATCGAAATTTGATTCAGATTTCTCAATAGTTCTTTCTATAGACAGCACTAAACACCTTACTATAATGTGTTGTACCACTATATTTGCGCGATATGTGTATTAACGAGTTTCCGAGCTTTAGCGGTAACATAAGAGTTATTTATTATTTATAGTATAATCTTCGAATAGCGAACACCGTCGTGACCGAGAAGTTTGTCTGTTATTTAGAGGTGTCCGCTATTCGGGAGTGTCCTTTAATGAAGGTTTCACTGTATATATTTCAGTAATAATTTCGAAAATAAACAAATAATAGTGAAGAAAAGTACTGTCTATACTTTTTTAGGAGCTGATCAAGTTCGTATATTATTATTTGTTATGACTTAATTTAAATATAGTGTGAAGCAACAAAAACACTCCTTACAAAGCGCTACAAAATTAAATTTTGTAACCCGAAAAACGCAGTGTCGCCATCTGTTAATAGAATTACGATTTAATTTCAATTCTGCTTGATCTAATATTGTGAAAAAAATCACAGATTTATTTAAACGTTTCTTTTAAGAATTTCGCTGGAAATTTCCTATTAACTTAACAAAATAGATATATTAAAATTAAGCTATGATTTTAATAAATTAATTTTGAATATAAATCTGATTTGTTGATAATTGATAAAAAAAATCGTACAAAATTATTTAGAACTTGATTAATTCCAGTTATACAAAAAGAAGAATTTTTAAAAATGTACAGAATAAATAAAACACTAATGTTTAATTATCAAATCAATTCTCTCAAATCCACAGATAAAAGATAGGAGAAAACTGAATTAATAATTTATCCCCTTGAAAAATCAGAAAAATTTCCACTTAAATATTGAAAAATAATTTAATTAAACAAAAGTACACAACTTTAAACATTTTCAAATATTTATAAATTTTATATTAATATTTCCTCTGAATACAAAACAAAAAAATATTTCAGCAACATCAAAATTTTAATGTTTGGCTCATTAAAAATATATTAACTGTTTATTTATTAAATTGATTAATATGTACATTGATATAATAATATTCGTTTATAGCAATTGTAGAACCGAAAATTTAACAATAGTATTGTTTGTTTCCAATAAAATGTATAGTTTAGATTGCAATAAAATTATTGACCAAACTTTAACAATGACAAAAAATCCCGTAACGAGTTGCATAACTTTCCCGGCAAAATATTTAATATTGTGGCGGCGCCATCCGATACTATATTTTATTAAAATATTTTTATATATTATTAATTATTATAAAATAGCAAAATGTTTAATTTTGAGGGAAGAAGTGACTTTTATACAAAAAATTTTAACTGTAATTAACTTTCCTTAGTTTAGCAAAGCTCATAATTCCTTAAATTAATAAAACTTAGTACTTTATATTAAGTGGACATATATTACGTTTATTTTAAATATAACAGACTTATTAATTTAAAGAACTAGAAAACTTTGCATACTAGATGAAATTAACAGCAATATTTTCATGATGATGTTCTTGAAAGGTTCAAGGCTAAAACCACTGATATTGGTAATTAATCGAGGGTTCTCGCCTCATTAACGAGATAGCCGCGTATTTTTCGGATTCTTTGCGTGTCTAACATTTACTATAAAGTTGTGTAGCTTCATTTTTAACGGGAATTAGTAAGCTCGGAGTGCCAGCTAGTTCGTTGTTGAGCTTCGCGGTAATTCAATATGGCTGCTCCCATGAAAAAATAACTTTTTTGTACAAAGAAATGAAAATGGAATTATTTTTGAAAAATGAAACGGCAGATAATATTTTTATTAGTAAATTTTAATTATTTATTGTATAAAATGTTTATAATAATCTTTAGTTATTTTTATTGTAATGTTAGAAAGAGTTTTTTCATAAACAGTGGATTAATGTAAAAAAAATAAAGTTCGATTCGTTGTTTATGATTAAAAGGGACTTTACCTTATACACCAGGGGTGGCCAACCTTTTGCATACCATGCGCCAATTTTTTGATAGACGAGTTCAGATGCGCAGTGGCGTACCGTGGGTGTTAGCCGCCCGGGGCGGAGAAAAATTTCGGCCACCCTTTAATCAGGTATTTCAATTTAAAAGATCAAAATTCAGTTGTGTGAAAAAAAAATTAATAAAAAATGCGGTGGTGGTGTAGTTACCCGTACAAAATAGTCCCATTTGACATTAGTGGCATACACGATTGCGNAGGATTTGAACAAATTTCAACATGGGATAGGTTAATATATTTTTTCGTACAGAATAAGTTATCCGAACAACCCCAGTCCCCAATTGATTCGGATAATCGACGCTCTACTGTATACAAACGAGACGTTCCATGCTCAAATAAGTACAGCGAATAATTATTGGGATTCCCTTTGAGATTGTTACACGAGAAATGGAAGAACTTGTCTGAAGTAGTGAAGATGAAAGCTTCTAATTTCGGTTGTTACGAACCGAATTTAACTATTAGGAGTTAACTCCTACGTAATTTAACACAGGAGCTAACTGTTATGAATCGGTTTGTTATGAAGCAGAAAAAGTTCTTTGAAGCTACTGAAACTACACATTACAATATTCTTATTAAGATAAATTTTGATCCCGTTGTCTGACGGGTATTTTCTTGTTCATACAAGTAAACTGACCGGTCATCTGATTTATATAAATTCTTCTGTGTTGAGGGTTCCGGCCACTCGCTAGACAAATGATTTAGAGCGGTTCTAGAAGCCGATAAAGAAAGAATGGTATACTCAAGTCCTTTAATGTTTTATGTTAATATATAGTTTTTGAAAGTGACAAAATACTATTCGACAAAATTATATTAAAATGCTTTTGAAAAATTTCTGTTGGGTGTTCTTAGTCTTTGCAAAATTTTATCTTTAAAAGTTTGATAAAAACTTTGCACATTAAGCCACAAAGCCACGTCAAGGCGACACCCATTTTGTGGTAGTTTTTTATTTTCCAGAAACTAACCCTGATTGCTAGACAGAATAACAATCAGAGAATAAAACTGGATATTCATTGCTATTCCATTAATTCAATCAACTGAAATCATTCGCGGAAAATACTGTTATTATGCCATTATAACAAATGTTGTTATTAGGGAAGAAGGATTTGTCATTTTAAATTGAATTAAAAATTGTAAGAATTAATGCCGAATTAATCTATTCTTCTCAACAAGAGAAAAATTCTTACGTAGGCCTATAGGTGTTACCATTAATCACTCATCTCAAAATATAAGAATAGCAATGAATAAAATATGAACTGTTTACATTTTCAAAATAACAAAATATTTTCACGTTAAACTTACAACGCATGAAATATATAGTTATAAAATACATTATAATTAATTATAATACACAATACTAATAAAATAATAATATAATAATATTTAATTACATGCAAGAAGCGTTCAATTAGCAATTCCTGCGTATATATACAAGCTCAGTGGAAAGGTATCAAACTGAAATTAAAGCATGTAAAAAATTTAATGTTTGTAATTTAATTAACACAGTTCCGTAGTCCCCTTTGTGTTTGATACAGGAGCGCTAATCTTCAAACTAATCTCTAGTAATCTTGAAGGTGTTCTCGGAACTATTTTCTCACAGCAACTTGAACATCGTCTCAGGTGAAATGAATTTCTTTGAACTGTCTCTTGAGAGTGAAAAGCAATTAAAAATCTGATGGTGCCAAATCTGACATGTACGGAGGTTGTCAGAAACTTCAAATCCGAGAATCTTTATGGCTTCTGCTGTGAAAGCGGTGGGATGTTGCGGAAATCATTCACTTTGTTTAGACTTCCAGCACCATAAACCGTCGCTAAAATTTTTTGGAGACTCATTTTCATGTGGTCGTTGTTTTACGCGTTCCAACACAGTTAAAAAAGAATCATTTTAAACATGATTAAAGCTGAACCATTATACGTTTATAAATTCCAATGAATGTAAATAAAATAATAATGTGACTAAAATGAAAGGGAAACAAATATTTCGTTTAATGGGAAATCTTTTGCTATTTATTTTGATATAATTTTTCTATTTGGATTTATAGCTTTTGGACTTTTCACGATAGCTTTAGGACGCAACATTTACGATACGTATACAAAATTTTGAAATATATCGAATATTTTTTTTATAATTTATAAAAATCTGATAACAACCTGAACGATGATTTTCAGCTTATTCAATATGAGTGCCTTAAAATCATCGTACAGATTATTACTTGCCTACATATACAAGCATATAATTATTTATTTACGTCAATTTATACTTCTATACTTAAATGAATAAAATATCTATCATCATAAACCATAAATTTTAAATAATAAATATACGTAGCTATCTTTACCTAAGTAGTGACCGTAGGGTCGGTGTCTCTTTGACACCACGTCAGGAGACCTGAATCTGACACCACCGAGTCTCTGGGGGACTCGGAAATCGCGACGTTACGTCACGCGAGGGGTAGTGTGTGAGCGCTTGGATTTGGAGTAGAGGTGAGGAGAGAGACGAGGAAGTGACTTACTCGGACTCCATATTTTCTAACAAATAACAATTTTAATAATAACACAAAGAAAATACAGAGATATCGGGCATATTATCGGACTTAATTATACTATTCCGTTCGAGAGAGAGAGTTTACACGCAAATCGCGGGTTGATAAATACCTTGCTTCTGGGTCGAAGAATCTGTGGTCACGCCGATGATGATACGCCGATAGAAAGTTCAATCTGCGGGTTCTGGATCTTGTCCGTTCACTGGGGGTGAAGGCACGGAGGTGTGGAGATGTTATCCTTAAACAG